CGAGAGATGACAAAACCCAAGGATGTACCTGTTACATAGCTGATGTAAGTTTACTGACCTTTCTTCTAATGGCAGTTTTGACCCTTTCCTTAGCATGTGCCAGTAAACTAGAAAAAGTCAACAGGTTTTAGACAAAAAAAAAACAAAAAAACAAAAAACCACAACAAACCAAACCAAACTGTTATTCCACCTTTTTCTGAAACACTTTTAGAAGAAATCTAAACATGATAAACTGTGTCAGCTGAAATTTTCAAGACCACATAGCGGGATCTTAACTTTGAAAAATTGCTGCTGAAGTCTTAAGTGTGTTGAAGCCATTAGTAAAACTTGGACAAACAGGAAGTTGAGACAAAGTATCACAAGACTTCATCCAGGTCTGTGATGGAGAATGTACATCTGTATGATCTAAACACATAGTCTCACAGGACACTGGTAGATTACGTCCCAGTATTTATGAGCTTCACAATAGGCATCACTGGTTGGGACCTAAACTGAAATTTGGTCATCACTAAAGAACAGTTCTTAAGAGATTAATTCAAGAAATATAAAACTTAAACGTGTCTATGCCCCTGTCTACCCTAAGATCTATATGCATTTGGCTTAGTGTTTGACTGTATCAGGCAATCCTTCCTCACTCACTCTTGGCCCCAGTAACACTGTTAGCCACACCACCACCACCTGCTTCTATAAATGCATGACTCAACTAGTGATGAACTAGTGATGAAAGCACACGTAGTGCTTTATTTCATGTTTCATCAACAGATTACATTCAGAGAAACAGATGCCTTTATTTTCATCATATTGTTACAACAAATTTTGTAAGCATGTTGTTTATAGTAAGCTAGCAAACTTTTCAGTTAATTTGAGTACTGAAACTTAGCAGAATTGTTCCCTATTGATTTCCAAAACCTACCACCATTTTGTTGAAATTTTTTTTTGTGCTGAAGTAGAGGTAAACACAGGATCTTGACTTCTGAAGATAATTAACTAGATAAAGTTCTTAACCTCAAAACCCAAGTAATTATTGCACATTTCAGCACATGAAGCTTCTCTACAAGTGCAAGTAATCCTACAAACTAGAAAAGGAACTGTAAAGGCAGTAAACAACTTCTGGGTTTCAGCAAGTTCTCTAGAGCTAACTCTCCAGGTAAAGAGAGTTCATAGTGATAGAGCTGACATAATAACCAAAATTCAGTAGTAGACGTCTGACATGTAATAAAAATATTGAGGAGTTAGAGGGTTGAACAACTAGTTGTGACCTAGAAGCATTATGAGAGTGAAAAACAGTGCTTATAAGGACAGATGTTGCCAACCCACTATGAAATAAGCCTGCTGGTTATTACTTCAGTGAGAAGATTTGGACATTGCATACTTTACTACAGCTATTTATTTCTAAAACAACAGCAAAATTAAGGACAAAACTCCTAAACAATCTCAAGAGGTGGTTGGTGTAGGAGCTTTTATATTCCAGCCTGTCTTTTCTGCTCAGCATTTCCCTATGGCACTTTCTTCCCATCACAGCAGATGACAGCTGAGCTCAAAATAGTTTGCTTTTCTACTATTGGAGAACTATAAGAAAAAGCAAAGAACAGGTATGAGCTATATGAAAGCACTATGGAATTAAACAAATAGATTTCTGCATATATGATTTCATATGAGAAAGCATTGTTCATCTCACCAGGTTTTCCTACTCAGAAGAACACTAACAGTCATTGCTAGTTACGCTTAAAAGAAAGTAACTGCACTGAATCACAAGATAAAACGCATATGTTTAAGTTCTTGCATGTGGCTTTTGCTATCACTGAACAATATGAACAATTTTCCATGTCACATTTTTCTTGTTGCCACAGCATAGATGGAAAAAACATGAGCATTATACTGCAACTAAGGCTTGCTAATTTTGCTTTCTCTAATATGCTTTTTAATGAGGACACTGCATCAATTACCTTGCATTTCCTGAGCCACCTGCTGTTTAATGTTACAACCTTAAAGTCTACTTCCATATAAAATAAATACAGCTCTTAATTCAGTATGTTGTATTTAAGGATGTATTTTGTACAGAATCCAGCAATAAACTACAACTAGCATCCTAATGGCAAGAAAGCTGATCTAAGCAATGAGCTAGCTGTGGGTTATCGATCTGTTGTAGCAGGGAAGAAGAAAGGTTCAGTTAAAAATGCATCAGCTTCACCTTTTACTCAGAAGTATTTTTCTGCTGAATACACCAAAAGATTCCATTTCAAGAACTCTAATAGCTTTTTATTACATACTGGAAATTTTTTCAAGAACTTGTGTATACAAGTTGAAGAAACTTTTGACAATAATGTGAATACCCAATGAGCGCAGAAATTGACTGGCAAACCGCAGAAGAGCACGCGCTTCGCTTCTAGCTTGTGTGCCTGTGAGCCACAAGAATTGCTCTGTGAAGACAATCTGAACATATAGTATATTAACTAGGTAGCTAGCTACAAAGTACACTTTTTGCACTGTGTTTTAAGTGAATTTTTAGGAATGTAATTTCATCCTCTGGTGTTCCAGTCTTCCTTTGGATCTACTTTGTTGGGTCGCAGATGCCATGACTGTCACAAGAAAAAAAAAAAAAAAGTATATTCGAGCATTAACAAAAGTGCCTTTTAGAAAAGCATTTATCGCTGTGGCAGTGCTCAGGTTTTTTTTTGCTAATTTTAAGAAAACTTGTATTTTATTTCACAGCTACAATGCAACAACAAAAATTCTGTGATTCCATTTTCTGTGCTAGCTTTTACCTAGTGGAAGACAAGTTCTACTCTACTACTCTACTTTTCTGGACACCTTCATACATATTATCTAGGTATTTGGAGCATTGGTGTGCTAAATTGTATCAACAGACAAAGTATAAATCTGTACCCTTTCATGAGAATATTGAGCTTAAAAAAAGGAAAAGAGGCAAATGAAGCAAGTAGGCAGAAGTAGACATCCTTCTAGTAGCCCATGAATATTTGGTACTGTTACAGTTTTCAAGCTCACTATTTAGAGATAAAAGCAATTCTGTTCAGGTGTATGGTTGGTTGTTTTTGTTTTGGTTTGGTTTTTAATTTTTTTTTTTATTTTATTTTCAGGTACTATCATAGGTACCAACTGTTAGAGTTGCTTTTGGAATGGTTAGTCACACAGTAGGGTATAAATTAAGCTTCCAGATGTACTTCATTTTGAATATTAGCAAGCTCATCTGCTTATAACTTCTGCTTCTAGTGAGCTCAACTTGTGCAGAACAATGCCCTAGATTCCAGGATTTCTTTTTTTTTCCCAAAACTTCAAGACCTGTAAAGAAAAAAGGATATTAAACGGAAAACTGTTTGAATAGCATGCCTGCCATCTCACAGAACCTGAAACACTTTACTCCTTTACTGCAGGAGACACTGTATTATCTGGAAGTTTAGACTTCATGATGAGCATTGACATTTAACTCTTATTCCTTTGTGACCAAATAACAGTATTACCATAACTACAGTATATTAGGTTTCAGCCACATCTGTCTGAAACTATAAATGTTACATGAATTCTTCTAATATGAGCAAGTATCTTAGTTATACTCAATAGCCACAATGCCTGCTCCAGTCACAATTGTTCAAAAAGCAATTTAAAGTAGCAATACTGTCAATGAAAATAAAGATAACAAACACTTAGCTCGACATATTTATTTTTCAAGGTCAATAAATAAATGTAAACACACAAATTTGGAAAAAATCTTAGAATGTTTTTAAGCAACATTCTGACATAAAGTCTTTGTTATTGACACTATTGAAATATTTTCTGATCTGCTTAAAATAGTTAAGTCATTATGTTGCTGATCCTCCATCACACTAATTTGTTTGAAGATAGGCTGCTGCAAAGGAAAAAAAGACATCAACCTTTGCTTTGACATAGAAAATTATCTGAACTGCATATATTAAGTATTAAAATTACTTCTCTGGGCATGTCTTTTCTAGAGAATACAGAAATTTTTAAATTTACAGTTTGCATATTAGAGAACTCTTACTGTTCACTAGTTCATTATTATAAAAAGGAAAATGTAACAAAAGCAGAAAAAAAAAAAAAGAGAAGGCAGCATGGAAGAGAACAGTGGCCCTTTAGTTAATAAGACATTCTTTCTTTACCCATCTAATTTTCATTCTAGGTTTGTAACATTTATATGGTGATTGGTTCCCATCACTGCAGTAAGTCTGCCTGAAATAGTTTTAAAGCAGCCTTTTACTAGTGGACCTATGTTTAGACACCCCCTCTCTTACAGATATTCTCCAAACACCTTAAGCCACGGATGTCATATTCCACCTGGCTGCCTTAGCTTTCCCAGATTCTTGTATACTAATGCACTTGCACAGGCTTAGAGCATGAACCTAACTTGTCCAGGAAAAACAGCCTTTTTCAAAAGTATCTACAAACTGCTAAATAGAATTTTTTATCAAAAAGGTTCAGCAAGAGGGTAATTGTTGTTGACTTCATGAAAGTGGAGGAATATTTGTGGTTCCCTCAAAATTCGGCAAGTATTCTGTTTCTCTGTTCTATAAATACTACAAGACACAACATATTTATTTGGTTCCCATAAATTAGAAAAATCTGGTTTCCAAAAATTCTCAATTAGTGATTTAAAAAAAAAAAAATTACACCTGACCACCTTTTCAAACAATCTCAGAGAGCAGTCTTGCTCCTCTCTCACCCTTCAGAAGTGTGCTTTTTAAGGATACATGATTTATAAAACAAAAAAGTGTTTAACTACAGTACACTTGCTTAAATATACAAGTGGACGTGTTAACGTCATGTTAAAGTTCAAGGTACTTCTGGAAAAAAGGCAGATAGCTAGTTATTTTAACTCTGCGTTCTTACATAGGATAATGATTATTATAGGCCTTAGTTTCCTCTCATCATTCACCTATCATATGGAGAGTTCAATAAATAAGAACTTATCTGGTCCAGTTTATCTACAAGAGAAAAAAATACTAAAATAAAAAGAAGTTACCTATAAAATTACTTGTTTAACCCTGATAACATCTGAATTGCCATACCCAGTTTGCAATTGCAAGAAAAGCAAACAATATTCATCTTGCTTATTAATAAATGCCCCATTTTCTATAATATTTTTGTATGGTGCCCATCAAGTCACATATTCTTGGGGCAGGAAAGCTGGCCAGGAGGTGCAATGATAGCAGTAACACAGTATAAATCTGGGTTCAAAAAAAACAAACATACCAGATCCAGAAGCAAAGAATTTTGACACATGGAGGAGGCAGTGCCCAGCTGTTATTTGGGCTCCTGTGTCGTGAAGACTATACCCAGCCTAAGATACAGCTTCATACCTTGTAACACAGAATTCTTGTTGTGCTAGTATACAGACTTCAGGAAAGTCTTGGACAAAATTAATTGCCTCCTTTGTTTAACACAGAAGATAAAATAGCTTACTGACTGATGTAATGAGTAATGGATGTCACTGTGACACAAAACTTGCCATGACTTGTGTGTTCAGCTACAAGGTGCAGTATTTATTTCTTAGGACTAACTCAAAGCACAGCCACATCCAACTGTGACTTGGAATTCCATCTTGAGCAGCACACACTATGACTTTGAAGAAAGTCTGTATGATTGTAACAAAGTCTTCCGTCCTCTCTTGAAACATGAACAAAATCCATGGGGGTAATCAGGCACAGGCGGCATGTAACAGGTTTGTCTTCCTTGTTATTCCTTGTTTTTGCTTCTGAGGACATGCACTTGGCTCCAGACTAAATCCATTTTCTATTACAAGAGAACACAGCTATTCTTCTCTTTTTCTCTCTCTTTCTCTCGAGGCTCTTTACGTTTGCGTTCATTACTCCCAGATTGTCTTCCGCTTGCTGGAGAAGCAGGACCTTGCACCTGCTATAGCAAAAAAAAAAATCTTGAATAAAACAGAGTAATATTGCAGCCTGCATCTACACTATGTTCAAGCTCACAAACAAAAGTTTTAACTATGATGTACACAGCAGAATTCAGGTAGGGGATTTGTGTAAATAGTCCAGGACTACCACAAAATTTACTTGCTGCAAATGTATTTCGAGTCATGTGTGTCCTTTCTAAAGTGTCCACATATTCAGAACAGGTTTTTCAATAATAAAATTTGACTTCAAGCGTTTTCTGGCACTTCTGTATTACTGTACTAGAATTTTTTCCTGGTTTCTTTTGTAAGAACATAATCTATGTTTCAGAAGTTGCAGAGGGAAAGTATCAGTTTTGACAGCTATAGACAGAAAAGCAGCAGCTTTTTGTGACTAGAATAGTTAAGCACTTGGCAAGGGGGCTGATATATGTATCGGGTCTGGCTGAGCTGATTTTCCCCTTGCAGCCCTCCTGGTGCAGTGCTTTGTGTTAGGAGTTAGACAGGTGTCGGTAACACCCATGTTGTGACTACCACCGAGCGGTGCTCGCACAGCACCGAGGCCCTTTGGAACATTCCCCCCACAATGGGAGGGGGGGGCAGGAGCTTGGGGGGAACGTAACCAGGACAGCTGACCCGAACCGACCAAAGGGATATTCCATACCATATGACATCAGCTCAACTATAAAGCTGGTACAAAGGGCGGGGGGGAAAGAGGGTGGCTACTCCTGGGTCCTCTGGAGCAACCGCTCTGTGTTTTGGAGCCCTGCTGCCCAGGAAAGGCCAGACATCAACTGCTCATGGGAAGTGGAGAATAAATCTTTGGTTTTGCTCTTTGCTTCCATGCACCGCATTGCTTAACTTTTGCTTTCTCATTAAACTGCCCTTGTTTTTTACCCACAAGGCTTCTGTCTCTATCTTATTTTCCCTTCCCCTTTTACTTTGTGGAGGAAGGAGAGGAAAGGGGGAGAGTGATAGAGCAGCTTGGTGAGCATCACTTGCTCATCCAGGGTTAACCCACCACAGTATACAGAGGGAACCTGAGTTTTAATTGATCATCTGTTCCAGCAGTTATGCAATCATAGCTGCCTCTCACAAACAAGATTCAGTTATACAACAATTTTTACATACATGTGCATGAATCAAATTTTCCAAGCGTTCTGACTGCAGCTGTTTACAAGGATGGGACAGAAAGGTGTACTGGTAGAAACTGTTTATTTCCTAATCTGAAATAACTAGATTCACATGGTATCATAAACCCAAGCACCTAAAAATGTAAAGCAACAAACTGCAAGACAAAATAAAAAACTTTGATCACAATCAAAAAGCTCTTACTTGAATGCCGATTTGCAAGTATAAGATTTGCTAATACAATCTTTGTAACCTTTACATATTAATTCATCCCATCACTCCAACTCAAATAGTATGAATGGAAGTCTAGAAGGTTAGGCCTACTTTGAAGTATTTAAGTGGCAACAACTGATGTATCTGCATGCACACTCAAATGATTACAGCATATTTCCTAAGATTCCTGTATTCATCTTGTTGCTTGCTGCACAAAATGTAAATAGCAGTCTGTCCTGGTTTGGGGTAAAACAGAGCTGGTTCTGCTCAATGACTGTACTTTTTAGCTAAAGCTCTTCTAATTAACTGCTTTGTCTCAAGTCAGCAGCGTTTTCTTAAACTGTCCGGTTTTAACATAGATAACACTTCATGTTTAGAGTTACTGCCAGGGATTGGTGTGCAGACCAAGGCCACTGCTAAGCTTGGATCCCACATGGCTGGGGACAGAGAGCACCCCACACCTGCAGTGAGGAATGGGCAGAATAACTGACCCCAAGATTCACCAGTGCGGTGTTCCATAGCTGTCTTATCCAAGAAAAGCTGAAGTATGGTAATGGGCAAGCCCTTCTGCCACCCCTTCCGTGCTCTTTCTCTTCCATCTCCTTCTGCTGGGTTACTGGCTGCTTCTGCTGCAGTGAACGGCATCCGAGGAGGACTTTGTTCATCCTGCCTTTGAGCCCTGTGCTCCTGAACCGAGATCCAGAATCCAGCTCCTGTACCCAGTCGCCTCTGTAGCCCAGCCTGGGACCATCTCCCTGAGGGCTGCTCCCCAGCTGGGGGTGACGGTGACATGTTGCCACTGGGGGGAGTTGGGTTCGGTACTGTGTATATATTTGTACATATTCTATTTATTATCATTATTACTATTATTATCAGTGGTAGTATTAAAGCTCTTTTCTATCAATAAGTCTCTCTCCCTTATTCCCTTTCTCTTTCGGGGGTAGGGGAGGAAGTTAATAGAGAGCGTCTGTTACAGTTATGGGGGCTGCCCTGACCCCAAACTGCGGCACAGTCTGACCAGTCTGAAACACTTAGAAATGTAGACGTCTCTATGTGATTGTTAATACTCTAAAAGTCATGATCATCTTCTGTATTAATGCTTTCTTACCTGGACCTGAGCAGCTGCTTGTTCTTGTTCCTGATAGAACTGAGAAGCTCTCCTGTCCTCCTCTTCCTGGAGCTTCTTTGCTAGCTCTAGATCGCTGATTCCTTCAGGGATCTGTTCCCAGTTAATCTCTTGACTTTGCTGCTCTTGTTGTAGAGACAATGCCATCAGATAATCCTAAAGAGTGAACTTGTTTATTAATACACTTTCATGTAGTAAAGAATCAAGTGATGTCAAGTGAGTTTTTCAGCATGTATACCTACACAGTACTAACACTCTTCCTGCATCTTAAATTTACCTCATGGAAAACAGGACCTTTGTTTCAGAACCTGTTTTATAACCTGAACTGCAGAAAGGCTGAAAATGGTTACTTGACATTTGTCCTTTCACAGTGCCTATCTCACAGCATACAAAACAAAAAAGCTAATTTAAAAACTAAATAATTAAAAAAAAATAAATAAAAGAAAGGTTTCAGGTTTAAATTCCCTTACATGGACAGCAGCAAAAGAAAGAGTTTCAGCTCACACCAGTTCTAGGCAGAAGTAAAGATTTTGAAGCTGCCTCTGTAATTTGCTATTTCTAATGAACACTCTGCTAATGCTTGATAGTATCTGTGCACACTCTACTGAACAGTGTTGTTGAACATATTAAGAAACATTAAACAGATGAGAAAATAATAAAAAGGTAGTTTCGGATATATCCAGACAGCAATTAAAGGTATTACTAGCCCTATTATCTCAGCCAGATCCTGTATTCTGGAAGAGAGACAGTGCTTGAATTTATTAAAAAGCTTCTGCTTGTTCAATTTTTCCCCAGTATTTCAAAACATTAATGGTGATTATTATAAAGATAAACATACTTTGTTCAGAATGTAACATTTCCAAGGAGCTTGATCTTGCTATCTGCTTAATGCATTAACTGGTACAAACAAGGCCCATCTCAGACATGACTTCCAGAAACTATTTATAGATAACTAAGAATAATAAATAAGCACCATCATATCTGCTATGTCTTTTTCCTACGTTCAGCAAAGAGGGCATCAGAAGGCAGAGTTCAGTTATAACAATATTAATGAGCTGAAAGGAGAAAGGTTTCACACTGCTGTTTCTCTTTCCACATACAAAACAGAGGTGACATTTCAGCTGAGGAAGTTCTTTGCAGAAGGGGATTCTGAGAGATGAAAATCTGATTTTCTTAACTGTTCACAGTTGGTCTAATGCCTCCTCTGCTGAAATCATGCTAATACTTCAAAGTAGCACTTTTGAGAACGTCAACCTAAGCATCTAAAGATTTTTTTATAGACCTACATATGAATTAGTACACGTAGACATCTGTTTAAGAATACATATATACGACTAAAACTAATTACTAATTGTTATATATAGTCACAAGCAAACAGAAAAATACAATAGAAAGGCAGAAATTCTGTACTTGATCTATTTGATCCTGCTGCCCTCTGTAGACAGTTTCAGGGTCTGACGGAGGCCGTAGGTGGAATTCAGAATCACAGAAATTTCCATCACCATCCACATTGTGTAAACTTTCCCAGACAACTTTCTCTTCTGTAAGAAAACCCTGGTCTGTCACCAGCAGGTAAAGCTGACCCTAGGCAGAGGAATAAAGAAAACCTGTAAAACTAAAAAAAAATTATTTTTACAATTCTGATATAATTAGCAGAAATTATCAGCTAATACAACTGTTGCATTCCAGTATAAGAATTTGATTTTTAGCAAGTTTAAAAATAAAATTAATATACCAAAACAAAATAGCAGGCATTAGTATTCATTGCTAAATTAACACCCACACTTAATGTCCATATTCTATCATGTAACTTGCCATTATTAATGAAAGTTCATATTGACTAAAAATTAATATAAAGCATGAATATATATATTGGTAAATCCTTGGAAACACACCTAAGTGGCATACCTCAAGACTGGTAGTGTAAATTTTAAACCCCAGGATAAATCACATTAAATTCAAAGGCAACACCTGGAGACAAAGGTGATCTCAAACATAATCCAAGAGTTCATCCAAAATAATCCAAGAGTTATTATCTCAAAACGACCCCATCTCAGACTTAATGTTTTGTAATAGGTTTTGATAGAATTTTAGGTTTATTACAATCGGGGGGAAAAAAAAAGTCTAGGAATTGTGCTATCACTTGTCAGCAATAACTGCTTTTCTTGGGTTTTGGTCTTTTTACAGTTCCACAAGGCCAAACTTCCCACTTTCAAACTCTGAAATTATAAAATCTGGTTGGTCTGGGAGTAAAAGGGACAAAGCTATGAAGTCCAGCAGCTAAGGTACAGGGAGGATGAAATGTAAGCTTAGGCTGAAGGAATAGAAGAGCTAAACTAAAAGGGAGATTACAAAAGCAAGCCTGAAGTAAAAGGAGGTGGTGCTGCATGCTTGAGGGACAGTAAAGCAGCACAAAAATAATGTTTACATTTCAACTTAAATGAGATTTTAAATCTTAGCTCACCCTTTTTATAACATTTTTAGAATGATATTCCAAAGCAAGAATGTTATTGACCACACCGCATATTAAGACTGAAGCTTCCATTAGTATTACTGAATGTACCAGATCAAGGTATTAAATGCAAAACTAGTGGCACTGCTTATGGAGACATCCACAAAAATTAGCTGTTTGTATTAGAGCAGCACACAAAGGGTTCTCAAATATCACTGTGCTAACGATGCACCTAAACACAAGTCATTCCTGTTTTAATGATTTCATAGGCTGAACAGGGAAAAAATTAGAACATTGCCCCTATTCAGTAAGTACAGAACTAGCTCACTGGTTTCTCTCAAGTTATTAAAAGACTGTCTACAAGAGATGCTGAAATTAAAAACCTCTTCAACCCCACTAAGTTTGCAGCCATCCCTTCTGTAGCGGGTAGGTCATACAACACTACAAAAATGTTATTTGAAGAATATTACTTAATATCAGAAGACACTTTTATACATAAGGCCAAACAGAATGGATAAAAACCCTACAGAAGGACACTACTATCTATGTGTTCAAGCTTTGGAATGGCAGCTATCCCAGCACAAGTGGGCTTAAAGACATAAATGCAATTGTCAGCAACAATTCGGATTATGCAACATTATCTAAGGAATCATCTTTCCCTCTGAAACCTCCTTAAAACTCGAATGCTACCCCGATGCTTAAAGATCACCCTATGAAAATAGGGAAAAAATTTCACAATATTTCTGATTTGCATAGAATACCTATTTCACAGCATTTTATATAAAAGAAGTCTTTAAAAAAATGTAAATAAACAAATCACAGAATCTTTAAGGTAAGTGTATTTAAACATTTTATATTTCATTTTGACCAGTACACTGATTCAAATAAAAGCTAAAAAAAGGGTAAGAGGGTCAAGTTTCCCTGTGTTATACCATACATTTTTTTTATTTACTATTTAAACAGCTCATAAATGGTGTAGTTTACTAATAATAGTGAAATAGGAAAACATTAGTGTTCTCAATTTCCCAACTATTGTAAGCTGAACTTCTCACACACTAATATTGAAGTATGTCATTAACTTAATGGGATTATAAACTAGCCTCTGTCATTCAAAGACATTTTAAAGCTAACACTTGTTTGAAATAGAGAACTCTTTCAATCTTAAATACAAATTAATATTCTTACTTTGTGTTTTTAAGACTTCCTCAGCTGAACTATACCTGAACATTGGTTTTAACAATGTCTTCTTAAATAAATAAAACCGCCATTAATACAGGCTCCTCAAAAGCAATAAACTGCATTACACAGCACCACATTACCTAAGCAATACTAATTCAATCCCAGCTGCATAGTTTGAGAACAAGCTGCCTCACTTTAACAAAATTTAGCAAACCAACAAACACAGGCTCCCTAGCATTTGTGAAGAGACAAAGATGCTTCTCACTTCATTGGAATGAAAGAGCAATGGCAACGTGCAGATCAGACATCCCAAGTCATCTTTCCCTTACTACGTTTCTTATTAAGTACTCTGGTCTCTACTTCACATTAATACAGCTGAATGGAATTTCTCAGAACACCAGATTCCCAAGGACCCTCAAAATATTGCTTATATTAATGTAAATTTTGGTAATAATTGAACAACTTCCAGTTTCATATACAAAATAAGAGGAGTCATCTCTTCTAGTGTTAGGTGTAACATAGCTACCCATCTCTACAGTTATCAGTCTGAATAGAACTTCAGTGGTTTTGTTCCTTCTACTTGCAACAAGCAAATAGAGGTCAAATATCTATGGGCTGGTTTTCTAGGCATTGTTTTAATCCTCCTAATCCTAAAGGCCCACAAGCCAACTTCACTGTCACACCCATATTCCACTGAGAGGATTCGGTGATATGAGAAAGTCCTTTCATCACATGATGTTCACGCGGCCTCTAAATTTGAGCTGCGCTAAGTTACAACATGCCTGATGCCGGGAGCCAGCCACCATCCGCCAGCACCTACCAGGTCATGAGATCAGCCCAGCTGCTAAGAGACAGTGATGCTAGAAACAATTTAACACTGGGATTTCTGACTTGATGAATCCAGTAGTTTTACACCACATTTGTAGCCTACTAAGCAGTGTTTCTGCTCTTTAGCACCACTCAGTGCAACACACAAGGAGGAAAAGGGAACAGTGACAGAATCAGTATGACCTCTGAAGTGTAGAAACATTTCTTTACACTGAAGTAAAAAAAAAAAAAAAATCGTGAAGGAGGCTTTTAAAAAGGCAAAAAGGAGAATGTGTTTTCCACTTAATAGTTCACAATCTTGATTCTTCATTTGCTTTCTAGTCAGAGTTAAAGCTAAAACAGCATGATCAGCACATTAAGGTCATGCGGTTATTCTAATAAATGTACATAAATATGCTTTTTAAGTACACCTTGCAAAGAATATAATACTTCACAAAATACACATATTCTTACCTGCATAAAAACATTAAATGGCCATTTCTAAAATATTAACAGCTTATCTTTTTTAGATTTTGAGATTGTGTTTTTATTAAAAAACCTCACATCTCATGGGTATACTGCCCCACCAAATACTAGCACATAATATACCAAAATAATATGTACTAACAACAGTTGTCAATAGGAAATAAAACAAAAGAAAGTCTCAAGTGCATAACTGTTAAGGTAAACTGCCTATAATAATGTTATTAATAATTATTTATCCTAAGAACCAATATTAGATATTGCAGACCAATGCCTAAATTTTATAGTTTCACATAAAATACCTGGAAATAAAGCTAAGGATAAAAGCAAGATTATGCTCCTGAAGAATGATTTCTTAGTATTCTGGTTTGCCCTAAAAAGCTCTCTGAAACGCTAACAGATGTAAGCAGCAGATGACATTGCCCATTACAAGACCTCCCTTCCTAGGTTAATTTCATGACCAGCTTAAGTCATTTAAAATTAATGTTTTTAAGCTACCTGTTCTCATACCAATCACAAAGTTTCCAGCAGTTTAGTTTCCAGCAGTTTAGTTTCCAGCAGTTTCGAGAACTCAGATACCCAAACACCTGTCCAATAACTTCATACAGTAAAGACAATAATTTTAAGCCTTATCTGCCAAGGTCTATATAAATATTCTCTTGGACTTCTGAATCAGATCCTTCATTTCTTTATGAAGATATTGTATGGTGACACGAATGAGTGCTGTCATTTTGGGATTAGCCTAATCAGAATCTGTAAAAAAACCTCTTTGCTCTAACAGTTACATATACCCTATATGATTCAACAGAGTAACCCTCAGAATAAAAACTGTACACTTAGTAAGAAACAGAAAAAAATATTTAAACACATTTTTAAGGAGTTAGAGTTCTAAGAAAACATGTTTTCTTTCTACAAGGAAAACGTTTTTAGGAGGGTTAAGACATTGCCTCTACTATTCCAAACTCAGTTATCTTCAAGGGGCACCTCCTCTGTGTCCAG